GATGCAGGGTTTTAAACAACGAAAAAAAATTCAAAGTCTGTTTTGTATGTTAGAAGTTTAACACAGCGAAACGGGTATACCAGCTAGTTAATGATAAAATTAGCCAGGGCATTATCATCCATTAACAACTATTTCCTATATTTATAAAGCAGAAAGTTTGTATGTAAATATGTATGTATGTTTACGTGGAGTAATTTTTGTTTCTGAACCGATAAGGCCCAAATTCTGCACACATACATTTTAGACGCCAGCTGGTAACATAGATTACTTCATACGGTAGTTGGGTCTGATGGCGTTAATTTGCGATTTTTTGGCCAGTTCGCGTCATTCTTGATTTAATCGCTATCTGACTAGTTAAAGATTGTGTAAACATATATATTCTGAATAGAAGTACATTGTAACGGAGCGGTTGCTCATATATTAGCAGTAGGAATCAAAGTTCAACGGTTATTTTAGGACAAAGGCAGATTGTGTGCATTGATGGTTTGCATTTGAAAATGAGGAAAAAGATATCATCTTTTTGGAAGTGTCATGTTAGCTGCATTTGAGCATGCAGTTGCACTGAATAACTATAAAAAATTGGTAGGTTCTATCTGAGACCGAGGGAAGGCAAGGGAGGGGTTTTGAAGAACGCTCGGAACTTTCTGCACTTTCACTTCCTCTCTACAGTTGTAGTTTGCATTGGTCATTTTTTTGGTTAACAATGATTATCTGGCTTTACTGCTACACAGCTTGAAATTTTGCAAGCGGTAGATGGGACGCGATATAGCAAAAAGGGACGGGTTAGTGACAACGATAAAGCCCCATAAAAATGTAAAGGCTAAGTGCAAGTTTTACCTCAGAGATTCTATAAAGGCGAGCAAAGCCAGATATTAGCTACTTATTAGTTCGATGGCGTTGAATAAGGACTTATTGCGCCAAAAAAGTTCATTGTTTGAAAATAAACTTATTTATGCTATTACTAGTCGCCATCAAACTAACCACACAAGATCATGCAAGTACATATGATTTTGAGATGAAAGTTAGCGGGGCGGTAGTTCATTTGAACAATAGACGAGCATAGCGTGGTAGACGTAG